GTCACTGAGGTGCATCCACCAAGTGGATTGGAGACAGCGTGAACCTCCTCAGCCCAGCTGACAGCCAGGTCACACCTGTGAGGATCAGGATGCGCCAGTCTGCCTCCTACCCCAGCCTGCCCTCCAGTCCAGCACTGGGAGTTGCCTGGCGCAGTCTGTTCTTGGAAACCCCAGCGCCTGGGAGCCCCGCAGGGGTGGCGGATCAGCTCCAGCTGCACCCACGTGTGCACCACGCCCGCCAGCTCAGCGGCAGCCAGTTTTCGGGAGTGGACGAGGGATATGAAAATTCACACGAAATCAAGATATCAGTGCACTGACCTGCGGGAAGCTCAGATTAGAGTCCTCAGCATTCTTGTCGCAGTCCTTCTTCCCCCTTTTACTATGCTGTAGCTCCTTTTGCCATCTTAGCTGTTTATTATACTTCCAAATGACTCCCACCAGCAGCCTCCCAGGAACCCATTCTGGAAGCAAATCCTCCAGGCCCAGTCAGCCCACCCATTACCATTGCATGAAGTACACACGAGCCCTCCCCACTGACCTGCAAAATACATATGTGTGAGAAAATAAATGATTGTTTTTTAACCACTAATGAAAAGAGAAAGATGTTTTGTAATTATGTTCTGTAAATCAGGATTTTCTAGCAAAATTATCATTTAAATATTAATAGTAATAATAACAACAGCAGTAATTTCATTTCTAAGTAGAAAAAATGTCTTTCAATCATTCTGTCCAAAACCTTTCTTCCTGTAAAGAGGTCCACCATCCAGAAGGGAAGTTGAGATCATGATGACTCAGGGGTGCTGAGAGGTGGCCATGTCTCTGGAGTTTCCCCAGATGAGTTGCTGTCAGGAGAGCCCAGGCAGCATGGCCTGGGGGGAGGAATGTGGTTATTCTGGTGCTAGTAGAAACTGGACTGTGCAGTCTCTAGGGCTTTATCTGGGTGACATAGGGTGCGTGGGACTTTGCCTCCCTGGGCGTCTACACCACGACCATCACATACTGAAATGGTCACTCCGCCTTTGCTCTTATACTTGGTCCAACAGTTAGCCAGTATCTTGGGGGTGGTAGAGTCATCCTATCTGTGCCCCAGAATTCCCATGGACTCTCTCCTTAAGGCTCACAAAGAATGCCCTAGACACACCAAAGCCCAAGGAGCCTCGATAATATTCCTAGAAGAGGAGTTTGTAATTGCAATTTCAGGCTTGAGGAGGCATTTACAGCACCTGACTGTGTCTATAGTTGTCAGGATCACTCCTGTGTGCTGGATTGCTGGAGACTGAAACACTCAGGGTCACTCCAGGGGAACTGAGCTAATTGGGCTGCACAAAATAACCACACAAGAGACAGAAATACCTTTTTTGGGGGGTTGCTGTGACGGCTCCTCTGACCTTAAGGGTCCACAGGAAGAGAGAGAACCCGCACGTGCTGACCCCTTTTATTGAGGAGAAGCTATTCAAATGAGGCCAGGGTTCAGGTTTCAGGGGGCTGAGTCTATCTTCATGATGTCCACTGTCAGCAGGTTGACTGACACCTGGGTAGGCCACACCCAAGGGCACATAAGAGAAGGGGACACACAAAAGGTGTTTCCATGGAGCATTCTATCCCAAACAGGGCCAAGGGGTAATATCACAAAGGAATAGGTGAGCGTAACTCCATCAATGGGGCTGTAGGAAGACAGGCTCATACACAAAGACACAGTGCCTCGAACCCTAGAAGACAGGGGCAGCCTAGCAGCATGGCTGCTGCCTGACACCACATGGCCCAGCAGGGGAGTAGACTCAGTCATGTGCTAGTTTAGCCTCCCACACTTGTGCTATTGTTGTAGGCGTCACTTAAAATATTTTGTCTCTCTCCCTCTCTCTCTCTCTGCTTTCTCCCTTGTCTCTCTTCTCTCTCCTCCTCCTTTCTCTGTTTTACAGGGATTGGATCCGGCATGCTCTGTCACTGAGCTAAATCCCCAGTACTTTTTATTTTTATTTTGAGGAAGGATCTTGCTAAGTCACCCAGGCCAACCTTAAACTTGAGATTCTCCTGCCTGAGCCACCCAAACAGCTGGAAGTATAGGAGTGTGCCACTGCATGTGGTTCATTTAAAATATTTTTTTTCCTTAAAGCTTCAGAATTATTTCAGACTTACAAAATAGTTGTAGAGAGGCTGGGGATGTGGCTCAAGCAGTAGCACACTCACCTGGCATGTGCAGGGTGCTGGGTTTGATCCTCAGCACCACATAAAAAAAAAAAATAAAGATGTTGTGTCCACTGAAAACTAAAAAATAAATATTAAAAAATTCTCTCTCTCTCTTAAAAAAAAAGTGGTAGAAAAACAGGATACTGTGTCTTTCTCACAACATGCAGCATTTTACATAATCCCAATTCAGTTTTCAAAACAAGAAACTAATTGGAATGATACTATTAACTAACCTATAGGCTTGACTTTAATTTTGTCACTTGTTAGGGTCTGTAAACAAGTCAAGATGGCGCCTGGCATTTTGCCAGAGGGAGTGGTTTGTGAAGTAACGCCAGTGAGTCATTAAGTGTGGAGATTCCTTATTGGTTGACTGTTGTATCTAGTTTATGTTAATTAAGATAAGCTGTGTGGAATGTATATATACCCCTCCTGTCCTACAATAAACGGCTCCCACTCCTGCTGTATCAATGTACACAAGTTGCTCGTCCCCCCCCCACCCCGTATTTTGCTGTAGCCGGACTGCGGCAGTTACTTGACCCCTAATGTCTATTTCTTGCTCCAGGAAACTGTATTACTTTTCATTATCATAACTTTTGTGTCCCTCCAATTTGGAGAGTGTGGAGACAGGTGCATGGAGTACTGCACACAAGGCACACCTCAAGGGCATCTGAGTGGCAGGCACTCCCCTCATGCTAGGCTGTGAGGGGTAGGCCACTTACCCTGTAGACACAGCCCGGGGTGTGAGGCCCTGTCTTGCTGTCCCTCCACTTGCTCCATGGCCCGCTCCTCGATTGGTGGCTGCAAAGACAGTTGGCCATCAATTGCATTGGTGGCCTCCTGTAATCTGCTTAGCTTCTGCCTGAGTATATATCCATGGTAACTGCGCAGTAAAATCAGACCTGCTCCCTGCTTGGTCTCTGGAGGTCTTGATTAGCGACTGCGCAGCCACACTCTCCTCTACCCTGTTCTGTGGACCTCCTCCCTGGACGAGAGAGAGCACACTCAGGAGAGTGTTTTTGTGTTTTCTCGGAGTCTCTATTTATCCCTTTGGTATCCATTAATTATAGGACCCAAGTAATCATCAAAACTATTTACCTCTCTTCTAGATCATTCCACACACCCTGCTAGATTTCTACTACTCTAAATCAACCCAGGGCCAGGCAGCAGAAAACTTATGCCCCAAGCCTGCAGCTGCTACTCAGACGAGCCAGCTGAGCTGTTCTCCCTCCTGGCTCTGGTTTCCCACAGGAAGCAGTAACAGCTCTGGCCCAGGATTTCCCCTCCTGCCTCTGCCTCCTCAGCAGCTGGTGTTCCCCACGTGCCTGCTGGACGTGCTGGGCCTCTCGCTTCTAGCAAGTGAGAAACACTAGATTTCTTGCAATCGCTATGGCCTTTCTCTGTTGTCACCTCCACAGGTTAAAACAGGTAGCTCCTCCTCAAGCCTTTCCTCTCTGGTAGACTTTGGGTTGTCTTGCCTGTCATGGGAGCCTGTCCTGGTGCAGAACTTTGGCAGACGCCACGCGGATTCCTGGGCCTCACCTCTGCACACTTTATTGATGCCAAACCTGAAACTTTCCAGCTCCATCACTGCCCAGAGCAACCACAGCTCTGCAGGACTGTGGTGACCAACTTCCATCCCTGCCACTTGCACTTCAGCTGGGAAAGTGTCCCAGGCAGAGAACTAGCTCGATTTTCCAGGAGTTCACCTTGTGAGTGAACTTTTTCTTCTTTCAGAAGTTGAGAACTTATGATACCTTTGTTAACTACTACTGAAAACAGTGTCCCTATGTGTTTCATCATTGTTAATAGCAGAAAAACTAGTTTGGTCCACTCACTACCCTCATGACTGAATGTATGAGACTCCTTTTCTTCATTTAAGGGCCTTATTAGCAGGGTAGAAAAATCTACATTTGCTTTCTGTCACTATTTTTAAAATGTTATGCTACCACGTCTGTGGTTAAAAAAGGAAACTCTCCAAAATTTCTGCTCATGTCCTTGGACAGCAGGTTTCCGGACATTGGATTTCACACCACTTTCTCTGTAATACAAATCATCACTATCGTCCTCTTCTACTTCCCCATCCCCAGTGAAATGGACATTATTTATATATTTGTGTATTTATTTGTTTATTTGGTGTGTAACTTCCCTAGGTCCTAGGTTGGAAATAAGGTGCATTGCCGGGTTTTGCTCTCGTGACTAAAAGGCTCAGGGAGCCACTCCAGGTAAACTGGGATAACTGGCCTGTGCAAGATAACCACACAAGAGACACAAATACCTTTTTCTTTGGGGTTGCTGTGATGGCTCCTCTGACCTTAAGAGTCCAAGCGCTGACCCCTTTTATTGAGGAGAAGCTATTCAAATGAGGCAAGGGGTCAGGTTTCAGGGGGCTGAGTCTATCTTCATGATGTCCACTGTCAGCAGGTTGACTGACACCTGAGTAGGCCACACCCAAGGGCACAGTAAGAGGAGGGGACACACAAAAGGTGTTTCTATGGAACATTCTATCCCAAATAGGGCATGGGTAATATTACAAAGGAACAGGTGAGCATAGCTCCACCCATGGGGCTGTAGGAAGACACACCCAGGCAAGAAGACACAGTCACTCGAACCCTAGAAGAGCGGGGCAGTCTAGCAGCATGGGTGCCTGACGCCCCATCACCCAGCATGAGAGTTAACTCATCATGTGCAAGGTTGGTCTCCCACATATTCCCCCTTTCTTAATATATAGAAATATATAACTGGGAAAATTTATCCTTTAGTCACGGATTCTTGGTCCGAGGTCATCATGATCTGCTATTGAAACACAAAAGGAATCAGTAGAAAACATACCATTTTAATAACACAATCAACTTGGAAGATCCAGGTTATTATTATTACTTCACCAAACACTCATCAGAAGATTCTTAATCTTTTTCCAATTTTATTGGGAGGCATTGCATTTGGCCATAGTAACATAGACATTTTCATTAGCAGAGGGCTCATTCACATTATTTATTACATTGTCTTCTAGAGCATTATAACTTAGTTCTCATCCTTCCATCAGCTTATCTGACCATGAAGGATTTTGGAAGTAATTTAAGTCAAACATTAAGAAAATCCATACATTGTAAATTTTAAGGTATAGCCACAAAGGCTACAATTGAATAAGCAAGGAATAATATTTAAAGTAGTCACTTTAGGGATTATGAGACCAGCAGTTTGCTTAGGTCTGGTTAATTGACATACACCTGTTTTAAAGCCTGAATATTAACCTCAGCATATCATAGCTCTGAAATATTAGCTGGCAATAAACTAATGATACAATAAGTTGTATTTTTACAGGTTACAAGATATTTATCATCTTTTTTCTTAATTCTCACATTTAAGGAGTCTATTAGGTCTGTCAGTAATGTAAATACTCTTGGAAAATCTATTTTAATAATCTTTCTGACAATTGTTCATATATACTGTATCATTAAAGACCAGCATAATTGGCTGGTTTAGGTTTCTCATATGCTGTCTTGCATATGTTCCTGTCACTGGTGTGGTGAATTAGTTGCTTGGCTAACTTAGTCGCAGGGGTGTGGGGGGGTAAGAGACATTCGGACTCAACACACAGACTCCGGGAGCTGGTGAGAACTGACTGGTGACAAACCTCAACTCGACTCCAGTAGCTCAGTTTCTTTTTGGAATGCACACAACTGTTATAGGGTTTGAGTGGGACGTGCCTGTCAATCATACATAAGCAAGACAATATCCATAAGCCAATCATCTTCTGCCTAATGTAACCACACTGTGAGGAAACTCTAAATATTGCTGTCGTGGTGGAAAGCAATCTGAAAGGGTCTTTGGCCCTAAGAGAAGGGCTTATTGAGTCAGGGATTTCATGCCCTGCAGCCCCTGACTCGGTTTCCTGGCCTGGTAGTTTGGCAATGCTAACCACAGTGCGGAGGATGTGGTTTCATGGACGGCTCCTAGAGCAGAGCACCCCATCCTGCAGGTGTTCCTGTCAGGCCTGAAGGAATGCGGATTCCTCAAGCACTGCAAGCTGCTCGTAGCTGCTAGTTGTAACTGGAAGTTTTTCCAACACCTCCTCCCCTTTTATTAAATTTGTTGCTGAAGGAGAACCCTGATGAGAGAAGAAAGGAAAAGGGAAAAGCATTAAAAAATGAGAAGAACCAAGAAAGAGAAAAGCACCCAGACACGGCCCATCCCTGTAGCTGCAGTTGTCTCCTGCTGTGGGGAGCAGGCAGTCGCTGTTGACTAGGTCTCTGTCTGTCACTTGGGTTCTGATCTGAGGTGGACATGGGGAGCAAAGCAGCCATGGGGCAGGAGACCTCTCAGAAGGGGTGAAGAATTAGGCCTTTGCCAAGGTTGGTGGGGGTGAAGTTCTGTGCCTCTGATGGCCCCTCTGCGGCTGGGCCTGTCTTAGGTTGTCCCTCCCTTGAGGAATCTTACCCATATTTGACTAACCAGCCATCCTCCGGGGCCAAACAGGGTGATGTGGAGTGTGCAAGGCATTGTCCCCGAGAGGGCTCTCTGTCTCCTTGATAGATAATGCCCCCGTGGCCTCCACAACAGCATTTCCCTTAGGATCAGCAAACTCAGGTTCCTTCTCCATGGAGGGCCCAGCTCACAGCACTGGACTGGCGAGGCTGCGTTCAGGAAGGAAGGAGACAGGCCATCGACAGACAAACAGTAATATAGTGACAAAGCCGAGAGACATAGATAGATGAAGAGAGCAGTACTAAGACTCAGAGCACGATCCCTCACAGAACTGGCCCTTAGTTGGTGTTACTCACATCTGGTCCATAGCTGCCATCCATATGGATGCGGAACAATCCATTATTCCAACACTGTCTTTCTCTCAAGAGATACTCTCAGTCTGTTTACCATAGAATCAATATATAATTGACCATTACAGTCAGTACAATTAATCTAGTTATATGAGTGGACCCTCTAGTCTACACTGAAATGTACATTAAAGGTGGACCTGGGAAATGGGTCCATACAAGTCTTTTCATAATTTTTACTTACTTGACAAGTTTACAAATGGTTGTAAACTCTGTAGCTGGAAATTTACTTTCCTGGGCCAGGTTTCTCAGTCCTTATCATGATGACTGGTTTAAACTCTCCTTTGATAGCTGATTTAATTTACTGAATTGTGTTTAGTAACATTAAGACTCTCAATATTACAACTTAAGAAAAAAAATTTTAAAATATTTTGTAAAATCTAGTGTGTGTCTCTGGGGTCCTGTATTCCCCTTTTCTTTATTTAATAAAATTGAGTAAAGGCTTGGTGTAAGCCATAGTATCATCAGTTTGAGTTATATATTATAGTACAAGTATTTAAATGATAATAATTGATTTTTGTACTTTTTCAATATAGACTAGTTGATCCATTCTAACAATTTAGAAAGAACTCTCAATCTCTTTTTGAGAAGGTCTCAAAATATCTCTATATTTTAGAATATTATCCTTTAAAGAGATATCTTTCAATTGCCTTTAAAAAAATATGATTGAAGTTATTTCCCAGTGTAGGGAGCAGTATATAAATCTTACCATATTTTAATAGACAATAGGTCCAGCCAGATAACTTATATAATATCAATGAATTTTTAAAGTTTGTAACCTTTATTGCTCAAAATTAACATACGACTTTAATTTGGAGAACCTCAATCCTAATAAAATGTTTTCTCAAATTTTATAATTATCTAACAAACAAAATGTAAGAATCAACAGTGATTTTGAATCAATCAAATTTAGTCTCTAAGGACAATTGTCAACATTGGGATCCAAGTTGGTAGTTTAATATACTTAGTGTTTAATCAACGATGTGAATTTATTTACCAAAATTCACCTTGGTTTTAAACAGCAAGAATCATTAGGCAATAAAGACCTTTTTTAAAATAAATACACTTAACATTTTAATAGGTTTTTATCATGTCAAAATATGGACAAAATCTTAGCTCACATCAGTATAGTCAAATTAGGAAAATAGCCTGAAATATCCTTGAATTAATCAGTTAAAATTTTTATACTCAGTCCAGTATATATAAATCTCTTTTTTAATTGTTCTAATTTTTTAGATCATCTGGTTAGATAATGACATAAAGATCTTTCTATTTAGAAAAATATTTTTATCATTAAAATTTAGAATATAAAGACTTTGTCTTACCCAGAGATGATTTTTTTTCTTCTTTTTTGGATCCCCAATGTGTTCTTCCTCTCTGTTGAAGCATCTATATTTTTTAGAATTTTTCCTAGTTATACTTTGGAACAATTTCTGAAAACCTTATATTTTAAACCAATTATTGTACCTTGATAAGAAGAATTATCAATGAAAATATAGTTAAAATCCTTAGCTATTTCTGCAGAATTATTTTTGTTTATCATCTTATAAGTTTGTACAATAACTTGAGAATTAGAAACTACTTGAAGATTGTATTTTCTCTTAAAAGCAAATTTATAGTAAATACATTTATCTCAAATATCCGTAATTGAAAGAATATCAGATAAACGTATGTATAAAACATACAAATTATGAGTTTTCTGTTGAAGAAAAACAATAAGACAAATATATATTAATTAAACAATTAAACCTATATTAGTTATTTTATGGATTAACAGCTATAGGTTATCTAAATATCTGGAAATATATATATTAAGATTAAAGACATAACTTATAATTGTATTAACTTTATGTAACCACGTGGTTTTTAAAATATTTGGATCCATTTTAATTTATTTTTAATTAGGAGTCACCATGGTATGTGACATCCCTTGATGTGACTGAAATTAGATCCCTATGTATACATATTTATTTCTTGTAATTATATAGTCAGCAATAAGAATAAGGATTTTTTGTTCATCACAGGAACATTGCCGGCTTTTGTTCCTGAAAAGCATCCCCATAACCTCCAAAATTAAAAGTAAAATACAAAGAAGCATGTGTTTAGTAACATATAACTATATAGAAAAGTCAGGTTATTTGACTCCAAACTAACTTTAAGTTTAGGGCTGCAACATAGAACCTGTGAAATTAAACTATATCTGAAAAAGATATCTTCTGTTAGCATTTACAAGTGAGCATTCTCAAAAACGCAGGCTCTGAGTAGCTCCAGCAGGTCCGAAACAGGAAGTACAGGTTAGTGGCTGGAAGGCGGCTCCTGTGGAAGAACCAGTTGGAAGCCCAAGAAAATGCGGGAGGCGGGACCAGAAGCCTGCTCATCTGGAGAGGCATTACAGGGTTACCATGGTGACACAAACCACCTGGAGTCCCTTGCGCATTACCTGCAGCAAAAGTTCCCTGAGTTTTCCTAGCCCATTGCATTTTGTTTGGTTTTGTTTGCATGGAAACAAAACCTGGCCTGGCCAAGATCCTATGGTGGGTAGCGGCTTGTTTTGTCTCTGCCACCTGCAGTTGTAGCTTGTGTTTTCTTGTTTTACTTTTTCTCATAGCACGTGGGTGCTTTAAAAGTTTTAGCGTCAGATGCCAGCATTACCATCACACATTAAGGAAGTCTGCATTCAGCAGCATTTAGGTCAAGTCATTTAAGGGCTAAAAAGCTCTGCTGGCTGCAGGTCTAGTTAAACACCCCATAGAGTGCAGCAGCTACAGTCTTTTGTCCCCAGGGGCTGTTACAGCCCATTTGAGTATTCACAAAAACAATAGAAAATTGAAATTTGCTTCTCTCCAGGTAAACATCATAACATTTTCTCTCCCTTTTTCTCACTCTCCTAGCGCAAACTTCTAGTACATAAAACCCCAAAAAAATCTTTTATAAAGATTCACAAAAACAATTTTTTAAAACTCCATAAAAGTTCTTTTTCCATGGAGAGGACTCAACTCAACAACACAGCCCATTAATCATCTTAATAACTCTTAACATTTATTCAGAGTCTCTAGAATTATACCCCAATATTTAAAATTTTAATTTCACAGATTTTCCTTCTGTCTAATTCACTTACTTTCTACAATTCTGCCCACAATACTCTGCAATCCTAAGCATGCTTAACATCTGGAGAGAAATACCAAACTCACTAAACTTACTTTAATATTTATATTGGAGTCCCTGTACAAGCCAGCATTATTTTGTCGCTTTTGTCCCCATGGGATAAAGACTCAGACCTTTTGTCCCACTTTGGAAGCCATTTGCCAGGTTTCTGTTCTCGTGACTAAAAGGTTCAGGGGGTCACTCCAGGTAAACAGGGCTAACTGGGCTGCGCAAAATAACCACACAAGAGACAAACTACCTTTTTCTTTGAGGTCACTGTGATGGCTCCTCGGACCTTAAGGGTCCACAGGAAAAGAGAGAGTGAGAGCACGCACTGACCCCTTTTATTGAGGGAAGCTATTCAAATGAGGCAAGGGGTCAGGTTTCAGGGGGCTGAGTCTATCTTCATGATGTCCACTGTCAGCAGGTTGACTGACACCTGGGTAGGACACACCCAAGGGCACATTAAGAAAAGGGGACACACAAAAGGCACTTCTATAGAACATTCTATCCCAAACAGGGCAAAGGGTAATATTACAATGGAACAGGTGAACATAGCTCTACCCATGGGGCTGTAGGAAGACACAGCCCGGGCAAGAAGACATAGTCACTCGAACCCTAGAAGAACGGGCCAGTCTCAGCATGGGTGCCCATCGCCACATCACCCAGCAGGAGAGTTAACTCAAAGCTAGGTTGGTCTCCCATAGTGCAGATAAGTGGGAAGTAAGCCCACTTGGCCTAGGATTCCAGACTTTCCTTTGAAATCTTGGTGGAAGAGTCCATGATCCCCTAACTCCAGCATCCTGCATTCCCGCAGAACCAGTTCACACCTAATGGCTTACCATTAGGCTTTGAGGGCATCTCAGAAACCTGCAAATCTGTATCACCATCAAAGGGCCAGAAGACTTCCAGGGCAGAGAACTTTTGGGAAAGGGACTCAGGGGAAAAAAGAGATGGGCAAAAGTAGAGTGATGAAAATCCTAAGAAGGAATTAAGATAAAAATTTAGATGTCAAAAACATTGTGTGAAAGTTAAATTTATATCAACTTGACTGAGCTATGAGGTGCCCAGATGTTTGGTCAAACATTATTGTGGCTATTTCTGTGAGGATGTTTTAGATGAATTAGCACCTAAGCTAGCAGATGTATAAAGCAGTTAGCCCTCCCTGATGTGGATGGACCTCACCCAACCATCTGAAGGAATAAACAAGGGCTGGATCTCCTTAATGGACTAAATGATTGTTTTTCCCCAGATTCATGCATTGCAATCCTAACCCCAATGCGATAGTATTAGAAGGTGAGGTCTTTGGAGGTGATTAGGTCATGAAGGTGGAGCTCTCATGATTTGGATTAGTGCTCATAAAAGGAACTCCAGAGATTTTTCACCCTCTTTCTCTCTGTTAGGATACAACAGAAGATGGTGCTGTGCACCTGGAAGAGGGGACTCACCCAAAAGTGACCCTTCTGTCCTGGCTCCTGATCTCAGACATACAGCTTCTGAAGTGTGAAAAATAAACATTTGATGTTTATAAACCATCCAGTGTATGGTACTTTGTTATTGCAGCCCACACTGATAGACACCCTCCCTTGAGAAGGGAGAATTCCACCTGCCTGACTGCCGTCAAACTGGGACATTAGGGGTGATGTTTTTTAACCCCTATTTTCAGACTCAAAGTGGAGGGAAGCTCTTCTTAGGCCTCAAGTCTGCTAACCTTCAGTCTGGACCTACACCAGGGGCCCCCCTGACTGTTGGCATTTGGACCTGGACTGGAACTAAACCATTAGTTCTCCTGCATCTCCTGCTCACTGCCTCACCCTGAATCTTTGTTCTTGAGGCCTCCACAAGTGCGTGAGGTATGCGGTTTTCAATAATGAGCAGTTGTGGACTGGGGTCGTGACTCAGCAGTAGAGTGCTTGCCTAGCATGTGTGAGGCCCTGGGTTTGGTCCTCAGCACCACATGGAAATAAATAATAAAAGGTATTATGTCCAACCACAACTAAAACAATAAAAAATATTTATTAAAAATAATAATAATCAGCAGTTGTCCTAAATAGATAACTGACAGGTATCAGAACTGGTTCTGTACTTGGCCCCATTCCACTGTTAATGCTTCTCCCTGTATATTCACTCCACCAAAAGCACCCTAGGGCGCTATAGAGTCATCCTTCTTTCCCATATATTATAGTTTGTTCATGAATATTTTTGGAGACCTCTTTCTGCCTTGATGCTTAATAGGCATCTTTGTATTTCATTTGGTCTGCCATTTTTTACCCAAGCCAACAATGCTTTGTTTAGTATAATCATCTTTACCATGCTAGGCTTTCTGTGACATTTATTGAGGGGAGTCATCCCACCAGACAGAAACCCCACTACACATCTTTTGGATACAGGAGAATCTCTCTATCTTCAGCCCCCTGACTGGGAAAGTCTTTGGGAGGTTAAAATTCTTTGGGAGGTTCCAGGTTGGTCATGCAATCTTGTGCTGGGTAAGGCAGCCCAAATCCACAGGGATGGGAGACCTTGAACTTGGGACCCTTCTAGACCTTGCCTTCTGTGCAGCTTCAAAAGTTTATTAATCTGTGTCCTTTAATATCATTTATAAGAATAACCTGATGAAAATATATTCTTAGCGCCCTGGTGTTTGACAGGGAAGGTCTGGGAGACGTGCCCTTCAGACACTCAGAGGGCACCCTGTCTTGCTGAAAGTCTCCATGGGGCATCCCCTTGGGCATTTCTGAGGTCTGATGGTTTGGATATGGTTTGAGTGTGTCCCCGGAAACTCACATACTGGGATCTTGATCCCACTGTGGTGGTGTTGAGGTGGTGGAACATTTAGGGGGGACCTAGTGGCAGGTTGGGTCACTCAAGGTGCTGTCCTTGGAAGGGATTTATGTAGTTCTTGGCCTACCCTGGTGAGTTGCTGAGAAAGCGGATTTTTATTTTTGTGCAAAGTAAACTGGGTCTCTCTCTCCTACTTCCTATCTCACGTGTGTCCTCTCCACCTCACATGAGCCCACACCTGACGCCCTCCACCAGGCTGTGACACAGCTGGGAAGCCTCATCAGAGCTGGGAAGATGGGTCCACCCATCTGGGAAATTCAGGCTCCAAAACTCTTAGTTTTGCCTTATAAACCACCTCAGATGTTTTATTAGAGCAAGACCTGAGGTCTTCAAAAAATCTCAAACAGCCTCACCTTGATCTGATAATCACCAAGAAATTTTCTGAAAATCTGAGAAACTTGCCTTTAGGAGAGACAGGGTTTTGAACCTGATTTATTTCTGCATCCAGCAAGTCCTGGCACTTCTATGTATATGCACTAAAACTGGCCTGGAAACTGGACATTTTCCTTTTATTCCATCTTACATCTCTGTTCTGACTAAATATGGCTAAAATAAATTAATTGTTACACAGACTACTCTGTCTAGATGCCAATATTGATCTGATGCCAATACTTCCTAGCTCACCATGATATCAGGTCTCCCCACAAAGATTCAGCTATCTACCCCCCAAGTCACTTATCTGGGTTTCTCATTACACCAACCCACAAGGCAATCACCACTGACAGAAAGAACTTAATTTCTTCCCTACCATCTCCGGCTATAAAAGAGGCAGTCCTCTCCTTTTGGGGAGATGCCAGGATTCCTTCACTCTTGTGTTCCCGACTATCCCCTCTGGCCCTCCCTCTCTATGAAGTACACGAGGCCCTTCTATGAACCACTTCTGAATCCTATCACACCACATCTCCCGAGGCTTTAACAGCCCTCCTTCAAGTCCCTGCCCTTCATGTTCCTGGTCTCACTCGCTCATTTTGTTTGTATATCACTGAAAAGGATGGATATTCTCTGGGAGTGTTGGGACACCAACTGGGACCAACCTTTGCTCCGGTCGCATACCTCTCAAAAAACCCAGATATAACCATCCAAGGTTTGGGCCCCCTGCTTGACAACTTTAGCCTCACAGCCTTCCTCATACAGGAATCAAAACAACTGAACTTTGGATCTCCTATCACAGTCCTCTCTCCATATCACCCCTCTGAACTCCTCACCTACAAAGGCCTTCGAACTGTTCCTCCAGGATTCTTTCCCTTCAAGGTGCCCTTATACAGGATTCTACACTGACTTTGCAACCGATTAATCTGGCCTGTCTT